AATATTTTACATATTATAGCAGACCTGGCCTCCAGGTGTTCCCAGCATCCCTCAGTCCATATCTGGCATAGACTGCCCCAAAGATCCCTGAACTTTCCAGCCTAGGGGCTGGGATGACTTCTCATGGAGGCTCTTTCCTATACAATCCAGACATTTGGGTCTCCTCTTGCTCTTTTCCTTCCCTTCTCTGTCTTTGCATACACCCTTTCAGCCTTTCTCTTCCCCTTAAGCCACCCCTCCCAAAGTGACTTCCCCAATAAACCTGCATTTAATGTAATCAAATCTGGATTCAACTGGATTATTTCAAAGGCAAAGGAATGACCTATCACCAGTGAAGAGAAATAGCCTATCATTCAGGAGGGTAAATGATAGATAAAAAACACCAGTTAACAAAATGGTTGGATTACATTAGGAAAGGCAGTTGAGAGACAGACCAACCCCTGGGCTAGAGGGCAATTCTACCGGGCACACCTTGTAACAGGTAGGAATTGAGGAATGTCATGCAGGACTTACAGGCACATCTGCTTTTATTTGGTAGACAGGCACCTCAGGCATTTTTCCCAGGGTTTGGGACTTAGCAGTAAGAAGAAATGAGTAGGTTCAAATGATTAGTAATAGTCTCAAAAATTACTTAGAAACTTGCATAGGCTTTATGGTTCAATATTGTTCAAGGACTAGACATATGTATTAGTGCACACCAAATATTATTCATACCTTTTCTCTCAAGTTGTGCCCTTTCAGACAAAAACATAACAATCCTGTTATGCACAATGACACCAGTTTGTACAGAACTTCTGTACTGGTTGAGCTAGTGTAACTACAGAAACTTGGTTTCTAGAAATAAATTTAGTTCCACATCCAGATTCTTGATTGCTCTGGTCTGTGAACTTCCCAAAATGGCCAGTTTGGACTTTTCCTGACCATCTAAACTTGATTACCTGAGTACTCATTACTAAAGCCAACTACTGTGAAAACAGGAAATCTCCCACTTTCTTTCCTCCACAGCCTTTCTGTACTGTGACTACACCAGCTTCAGAGTTTTTCAAGGAAAATCAATTGTTACACACTTTATTTGTAACTCCCACAAAAAAAAAGCCATGGAGGTTTGGGGACACTCATTCACTAGTGTCTTTTCCTTCACACTGAGCAGTAGTGCCCAGCCTGAAAGGAGATGCATGACTGACTTGAAGGCATAGTGCAGCAGAGGCAGGATTAGGTCTTCAAAGTGTAAGGACCCAGAAAGAGGACCCCAACTCAAGTCCCAATCACCGCGCACCCAAGGAGATACAAGAGACTGACTTGATGCAAAATAGCAAAAGGCAGTTTACTAACAAGGGCCCTTGGATCGAAACTCATCCCACGCAGGGGAGAGAATTTCGATGAAAACCCGAGAAAGTTTAGAACTTTTATAGGGGGAGGCACAAGGGGGAAGAGAAAAGTGGGAAATTCTGGTGCGGTTACATATAATTGGATATTTCAAACATCAGCACTTTGCGTAAGCAATCATTTTGACAGGCTGGATGGCCCACTATTTTTGACCATGAAGCCTCAGACCTTCTAGGATAAACACCAGGTGGCCCATTACTCACTTGGGCATGTTGAGACTCGTCAAGATATGTCTTTGGTTGTTTCTACATTTCTGGTCACCTACTCCTTAGAGGGGCTTGATATTTTTATTTTGTCTATTCTCAGCAAGTTCAGCAAGCTGGCCTGCGGTGTTTGCCAAGTTGTTTTTAATTTTTGCTCTTACCAAAGCAAGCCTTGACTACATATAATGACCAAAGTCTCAGCTATAGGAGACACTGCTCTAAACAGAAACAAATTTCAAAGCCTCTGAGCAAAAGGAATGAAATTCTTAATGATGAGGAAACTTTGGAGAATAGAAACAAACAAGAGATTAGAGCAGTGATACATAAAATGGAATTCAAAAAGCAACACCAACAATTGTCTTCTTAAAAGGATAAATATATTTGAAAAAAATACATTGGTATACTAACTTTGAAAAAGAGCAGGAGTTCCCTAGTAGGGAGAATGGCATTAGTAAGACCTTGCCCCTATGTGCAATGTTACTGCTGACAGACAGCACAGCCAATGGTTTGTGTCTCAAATTTCTGAACTGACTTAACTCTATCAGTGAGCATTTCACATATCTCCACAGGACAGTGTCCTAATTGGTAATTCAATATTAACTGGCTCAAGTTAACATACCCAAATTGTACACCCCCACAATCTATTCTGTTTTTCTTCACATACATGAATTAATACATGCTGGGAAATTACAAAATCACTCACCCTGCTTGTATCAGCTCTTCATAATAGTGCTCCCCTACAGCTGACACCCTAAAACTTTAATCTGTGATGTAGCTGTTGCCTGTCCTATTTCACTGTGCAGTGTACACAATAACCTGTTCCTCATGTTCTGGTCTGAAGGCAGAAGCCATGCTTCACATGCAAACCCTTTTCCTGTTGCTGCAATGGACAGTTCACTACTTGACTCCTATGGATAATTTAAAAACTCTGCTGTGGTTCAGCCTTTTAACTAAAAAACTCAAGAAGTTCAATCAAGGGGAAAGCAAGGTAACTTCCCTGGGGAGCAACAGACTAGCAACAAGCTGACCTGAGTCAACATAGCTTTTCTTGAAATCATTTTTCTAAAAGGCTGAAGATACAGCTGTCTCAGAGTTAATATGCCTTCCCAGGGAGAAATCACTCTGCACACAATTAAAGATTACTTTACTAAAAATTGTCTTTAATGATAGCATGAATTCATCTCTGTCTAATGGTCTTTTAGGATCAAGATTCATGTTATACTTTGAACAATTTAACATGGATTACGAAGTTGTGATCTAGGACGAGTTAACGTGGAATTGGAAATTTTGATCTAGGACTAGTGCACATGGGTTATGATATTTGGATCTAGGACTAGTTAACATGGAATTAGAAATTTTTGTCTAGGACTAGTTAATATGGAATATGAAATCTGGATTTGGATTAGTTAACGTATAATATGAAATTTTGATCTAGGACTAGTTAACATGGAATATGAAATTTGGATCTAGGACTAGGTATCATGGAATATGAAATTTGGATCTTGGATGAGTTAACATAGAATAGGAAAATTTGATCTAGGACTAGTTAACCTGGAATTGTAAAATGTGAACTAGGATTAGTTAACAAGGAATTGGAAATTTTGATCTAGGACTAGTTAACATGGGATATGAAAATTTGATCTAGACTGTGCTACATACCCAGTTCCTGTCTCAAAAACTGAAAATAAGAATATTAGTGGACAGTTCAGCATCTCAGTGCAAGATGGAAAGCAGCAAAGATTCGATGAAGCAGTGAGTCAACAAGGTAAGTGTAAGAACCCAGGAAGAGGACCCCAACTCAAGTCCCAATTAGCGCGCACCCAAGGAGACACAAAAGACTGACTTGATGCAATGGCAAAAGGCAGTTTACTAACAAGGGCCCTTGGATCGAAACTCATCCCACGCAGGGAGAGAATTTCGATGAAGACCCCAGGAAGTTTAGAACTTTTATAGGGGGAGGCACAAGGGGGAAGGGAAAAGTGGGAAATTCTGGCGTGGTTATATATGATTAGATATTTCAAACATCAGCACTTTGCGTAAGCAATCATTTTGACAGGCTGGATGGCCCACTATTTTTGACCATGAAACCTCAGACCTTCTAGGATAAACACCAGGTGGCCCATTACTCACTTGGGCATGTTTAGACTGGTCAAGATATGTCTTTGGTTGTTTCTACATTTCTGGTCACCTCGTCCCTAGAGGGGCTTGATATTTTTATTATGTCTATTCTCAGCAAGCTCAGCAAGCTGTCCTGCAGTCTTTGCCAAGTTGTTCTTAATTTTTACTCTTACAAAAGCAAGCCTTAACTACATATAATGACCAAAGTCTCAGCTATAGAAGACACTGCTCTAAACAGAAACAAATATCAAAGCCTCTGAGCAAAAGGAATGAAATTCTTAATGATGAGGAAACTTTGGAGAATAGAAACAAACAAGAGATTAGAGCAGTGATACATAAAGAAAATGGAATTCAAAAAGCAACACCAGCAATTGACTTCTTAAAAGGATGAATAAATATGAAAAAATACATAGGTATTCTAACTTTCAAAAAGAGCAGGTGTTCCCTAGTAGGGAGAATGGCATTAATAAGACCTTGTCCCTATGTGCAATGTTACTGCTAACAAACAGCACAGCCAATGGTTTGTGTATCAAATTTCTGAGCTGACTTAACTGTATCAGTGAGCATTCCACATATCTCCACAGGACAGTGTCCTAATTGGTAATTCAATATCCACTGGCTCAAGTTAATATACCCAAATTGTACACCCCACAATCTGGTCTGTTTTTCTTCACATACATGAATTAATACATGCTGGGACATTACAAAATCACTCACTCTGCTTGTATCAGGTCTTCATAATAGTGCTCCCTTACAGCTGACACCCTAAAACTTTAATCTGTGATGTAGCTGTTGCCTGTCCTATTTCACTGTGCAGTGTACACAATAACCTGTTCCTCATGTTCTGGTCTGAAGGCAGAAGCCATGCTTCACATGCAAATCCTTTTCCTGTTGCTTCAATGGACAGTTCACTACTTGACTCCAATGGATAATCTAAAATCTCTGTTGTGGTTCAGCCTTTTAACTAAAAATTTCAGGAAGTTCAATCAAGGGGAAAGCAAGGTAACTTCCCTGGGGAGCAACAGATTGGAAACAAGCTGACCTGAGTCAACATAGCTTTTCTTGGAATCATTTTTCTAAAAGGCTGAAGATACAGCTGTCTCAGAATTAATATGCCTTCCCAGGGAGAAATCACTCTGCACACAATTAAAGATTACTTTTAAAAATTGTCTTTAGGCGCCCGATGCATAGGTGATATACTGTGGTGGCAGCAGGGTGAAGGATGGCCATATTTGCTGGCGCAACCCAAGCTGGAGACAACAAAAAGTGCGCAGGCCGAACTTAACCGTGCACATGGCCACCACTGCCCTCAATGCCGGAGGTGTCCACTCACCATCTACTAGCATGGCGACATCCTCTCAGTATCACCAGCTGCTGAGTGACTATGGACCTCCATCACTAGGCTACACCCAGGGAACTGGAAATAGCCAAGTGCCTCAGAGTAAATATGCAGAGCTGCTGGCCATTATCGGAGAGCTGGGGAAAGAGATCAGACCCACATATGCAGGGAGCAAGAGAGCCTTGGAGAGGCTAAAAGGAGGCATCATTAATGCCCGAAGCCTGGTTTGGGAGTGCTTGCCTTAAATGGAACATAATGCCAGGTCCTAGCCCCTGGCCAGTCTGAAGGCCCATCTCACTACTCCCTGGAGATGAGAGGCTTTGTTCAAAATAGCAGTAATTTTTCTACCACAGTCATTAAGCTCTGAACCCACACTCAAATGATTGGGAAGACATTTTGCAGGAACCGACGGTGTGCATTTAAGTAGTTAGGAATGACCCAGCTCTTTTTTCTTTTCAAGCATTTGAAAGATGTTTGTGAAGCCACTTCACAGCAAACTATCTTTTGTCCCCAAATACCAGTGTCCCCTTTAACCTCCCTTTGGATACATTTTCCATCTGCATCACCCTAGTTGACTTTCTTTCCATGAGCTCACCTGCCTCTGAGGAGTTGAGTGCAGACCACAGCACCTTTGCTTAGTAGCTGGCCGGCCTGTGTACAGTGTAGACCCTGCTTCATGGAGCTTCTCTGCTTAAGCGTTTGCATGACTGAGTGCTTTGAAGTCAATCTTTAAAATGCACAGGTTATAAATACAGAAGAAAGAGCAATCTACCCAACCTACCAAGCACCCTGCAAATGTCCATCCTGAGACTGTAGATCTCAGTTCCGTGTTTACTGTGAGCCATCACAACATCTGGAAGAAAATGACTGAAACCTTTGCATCTTTGTATTTATTACTTGATGTAATAAAGCTTATTTTCATTAAAAAATTTTCTCTTTAATGATAGCATGAATTCATCTCTGTCTAATGCTCTTTTAGGATCAAGATTCATGTTATACTTTGAACAATTTAACATGGAATATGAAGTTGTGATCTAGGACGAGTTAACGTGGAATTGGAAATTTTGATCTAGGACTAGTGCACCTGGGATATGATATTTCGATCTAGGACTAGTTAACATGGAATTAGAAATTTTGGACTAGTTAATATGGATTATGAAATCTGAATTTGGATTAGTTAACATATTATATGAAATTTGGATCGAGGACTAGTCAACATGGAATATGAAATTTGGATCTAGGACTAGGTATTATGGAATATGAAATTTGGATCTTGGACGAGTTAACATAGAATAGGAAAATTTGATGTAGGACTAGTTAACCTGGAATTGTAAAATGCGAACTAGGATTAGTTAACATGGAATTGGGAATTTTGATCTAGGACTAGTTAACATGGAATATGAAAATTTGATCTAGACTGTGCTACATATCCAGTTCCTGTCTCAAAAACTGAAAATAAGAATATTAGCGGACAGTTCAGCATCTCAGTGCGAGATGGAGAGCAACAAAGTGTCGATGAAGCAGTGAGTCGACAAGGTAAGTATGGGGGCTCGGGCTGGTAACCTGGGATCCATTCTGTGTTTCCTTGCTGCACTATATCTTCTCCTTCTGTCAGGGCAGAGTTAAAACTTGATAGATTTTTTTTCAGAGAACTATCGTGACTTTCACGAATGAGCTAATTGTCGACACTGTGTAGCTTCCAAGTGTTAAACTTATTCTTGTATCAAAAAAACACCATTGTCTGCTGCAAATATAAGAATGGGGTTAATAATCCCATGAACAGAGATTCGGAATCTGACATGGTCTTTCCTACGAAAACAACCAAAGTTAATAATTTTACTGTGTGCGTATATAAAAATTAAATATCGAACCCCATTTTATAACATTATTCACAACGAAATGTGCTCTCTCTCATCAATTATTCCAATAGAGAAGATAACCAACTGCTTATAAAAATACCCACATTTCATGTGGTCCAGAGCCCGGAAGTTGAGGAACATTATATCTGTATCTGTCCAGAAAAAAGTTCATATTAATTCCTTAAAATCATTTAATGAAAGCATATTTCTACAATTTAATGATCAAGCAAATAATTTCTTTTCCAGATAAGATATTATATCAAAGTTTTTCATACAATATATTTTGAAGTGTTTCCCCGTCTCCCAATTCCTTCCTGTTCCTCCCCACCTCCCTACCCACCCAACAGTAAATTTTGTTGTTTTTTTTGTCTCTCCCTTATTTCTATTTTTTTTTTTTTTAGTTTTTAATTTTGTTCTCTCATTACTTCATTTATTTATATTTTAAACATTGTTTCCCATGCTGGTTCTCCCCTCCACTAACCCAGCACCCCCTCCTTTCTCCCTGTCATCTGCCTCTAAGTTGGTGCTTCCCGATGCTCCTACCACACCCATCTCACTCCTTTAAGATTTCCATTCTCTGGATCATCAAGCCTCAACAGAACCAAGTGCATTTTCTCCCATTGAGGTCAGACATGTCAGTTCTCTGCTACATATGTAGTGGGGGGCATGGACCAGGCCATGTATGTTCCTTTGTTGGTGGCTCAGTCTCTGGGAGCTCTGAGAGGCCCAGTTAGTTGATCCTGTCGTTCTTCCTATGGGGTTGCAATCCCTTTCAGTTCCTTCAGTCCTTATCCTAACACTTCCATAGGGGTCCCCTGTCTCAGTCCAATGGTTGGCTGTGAGTATCTGCTTCAGTCTCAGTCAGGTGCTGGTAGAGCCTCTTAGAGGATAGCCATACCAGGCTCCCGTCTGCAAGCACAACGTGGCATCAGCAACAGTGTTGGGGGTTTGGTGTCTGCAGATTAGATGGATCCAAAGGTGTGGTGGTCTCTGGATGGCCTTTCCTTCAATCTCTGTATCATTTTTTTTTGTCTCCTCATTTCCTTAAGACAGGATCAATTCTGGGTCAAAACTCTTGATGGGTGGGTGGCTCCATCCCTCAAATGGGGGCCATTTCTATCTACTGGGTGTTGGCTCTCCAGGTTCAATCTCCCTGCTGTTGGACATTTTGGTTAAGGTCATTCCCATTGGTCCTGGGAGCCTCTCAAATCCCTGCTGTCTGGGACTTTCTAGTGGTTCTCCTACCCCCACCCCCCACTGATGCATATTTCTATTCATTCTCCTGGACATCTGGGCTTCTCTCTTGTCTTTTCCTCTACTGAACCTGCATCCCATCTTTGCCTCTCCATCCCCTCTCCCACACAGGTCCCTGTTTCCCTCAATATCCCTTGATTATTTTGTTTCCTCTGCTAACTAGTATTGAAGCTTCCAGACTTGGGCCTTCCTTTTGGTTTGACTTCATATGGTCTGTGAGCTATATTCTAAACTTTTTGGCTAATATATACTTATCTGTGAGTACATACTATGTATGTCCTTTTGGTTATGGGTTACCTCACTCAGAATGATATTTTCTAGTTCCATCCATTTGCCTGAAAAAATTTTAATGTCCTCATTTTTAATAGCTGAGTAGTATTTCATTGTGCAAATGAACCACATTTTCTCTATTTATTTTTTGATTCAAGGACATCTGGGTTGTTTCCCGCTCTGGCTATTATTAAATAAGGCTGCTATGAACATAGTGGAGCATGTGTTCTTGTGATATGGTGGCATGTTTTGGGTATATGCTCAGGAGTGGTATTTCTGGGTCATCAGGTAGAACTATTTCCAATTTTTCTGAGGAACCTCCAAATTGATTTTTAGAGTGGTTGGACGAGTTTGCACTCCCACCAGTAATGTAGGAGTGTTCCTCTATCTACACATCCTCACCAGCATGTGCTGCCACCTGAGTTTTTGATCTTAGTCTTTCTCATTGGTGTAAGGTAGAATGGAATCTCAGGGTTGTCTTGACTTGCATTTCCCTGATGACTAAGATGTACAGCATTTCTTTCTGGGCTTCACTGCCATTTGATATTTCTCTGTTGGGAACTCTGTTTAGCTCTGTGCCCCATTTTTTCATTGGGTTATTTGGTTTTCTGATGTCTAACTCTTAAGTTCCTTGTATATTTTTCATATTAGGCCTCTATCAGATGTAGTGTTAATAAAGATTTTTTTTTCTGTTTGTAGTTTGCCAATTTGTTGTATCCATAGTACCTTTTGCCTTAGAGAAGGTTTTTGTCTTCATCAGGTTCCATATGTCAATTGTTGATCTTAGAGCCTGAACCATTGATGATTTGTTCAGGACTCTGTTTGTATATTGAACCATCCCTGCATCCCTGAGATGACTCCTACTTGATCATGCTGAATGATGGTTTGGTGTGTTCTTGGTTTCATTTTGCGAAAATTTTATTAATGTTTTTGCATCAATATTCATAAGCAAAATTGGTCATATGTTTTCTTTCTTTGTTGGGTCCTGTGTGCTTTATGTATCAGAGTCACTGTGGCTTCATAGAATGAATTAGGTAGTGTTCTCTATGTTTCAATTTTGTGGAATAGTTTGAGGAGTATTGGTATTAGGTCTTTTCTGAAGGTGTGGTAGAATTCTGCACTAAAACTATCTGGCCCTGGGTTTTGTTGGTTGGGAGGTTTTTGTTGACAGTTTCTATTTCCTTTGAGGCAATATGACTGTTTAGATAGTTTACCTGATCTTGATTTAACTTTGTTATCTGGTATCTGTTCAGAAAAAAAATCATCTGTTTCGTCTAGCTTTTTCTATTTTGTTGAGTATACGCTTTTTTTTTTTTCAAGGCAGAGTTTCTCTGTGTAGCACTGGCTGTCCTGGAACTCACTCTGTAGACCAGGCTGGCCTTGATCTAAGAAGTCTGCCTGCCTCTGCCTCCCAAGTGCTGGGATTAAAGGCATGACCCATCACTGCCCAGACAAGTATACACTTTTATATTAATATCTGATATTGTTTTGAATTTCCTCAGTTTCTGTTATGTCTGTTATGTCTGTTATGTCTCCCTTTTTATTTCTGGTTTTATTAAATTAGATATTGTATTTGTGTCCTTTAGTTAGTTTGTCTAGGGATTTATTTACCTTGTTGATTTTCTCAAAGAATCAGCTTTTGGTTTTGTTGATTCTTTGTATAATTCTCTTTGTTTGTAATTGATTGATTTCATCCCTGAGTTTGGCTGTTTCCTACCATCTACCTCTGTTGGGAGTGTTTACTTCCTTTTGTTCTACAGCTTTCAGGTGTGCTCTTAAGTTGCTAGTGTTGAAGCTTTCCAATTTCTTTATGCAGGCACTTAGTGCTTTGAAATTTCTTCATAACACGGCTTACATTGTGT